TATATACATAAAAACAAAATAGATGATTCGTTTCATCTTGAAACATTACAAATAAGTTAGTGATACTCCTCTCCCCTAAATCAACGAAGAAAATCAAAAGAAGAAAGAGCCCATTGAACATTCAAATTTGGGCTTTAAAACCGCAGCCATATATAGATTGAAACACACTAATCTAGCCCAATATTACCTGACTCGGCCCAGCCCAAAATTCTCACCTCATTACCCATTCCCGCTGGCGCTGATTTGGTCGGACTTTTCCCAACTGCCCACGGTCGGCCGTTGATTTTCTCGGCACTTTCCTTCTCGCCCATCGTTACGGCGCCTAATCAAATCAAATTAATCACCGCAAAAACCATCAGACAAAACTTACCCTCTTTAATTCTTCCCAATTAAAACTAAACCCGCTTTTTTCCACCTCCTTATAAATACATTTCCTTCCCAGCTAAACAGAGATCACAGAACCGAAAACCCAGAATTTTCCTCCTCATTTTCTCGGGAACCAAACAGGGTTTTATATAGATTTGTAGGTCTTCGTACACAATTTGTTGCATTAATGGTCGGGGCAAAGGGAAAACCGAGGCGATGGCTCTGGGTCGTCGGTGCGTTGATCGCGGTCTTCGTTGCCGTCGCATTGACTTCCAGAAGTGCTCCGAAGATATCGTTCTTCGGGCGCTCTAACAAGGCTTGTAATTGTTCTCAGGTATGGATTCTTGCATGTTCTGTTTGGTTGCCGAGAAAGTAGAGGGAAAATTTCATGAGAAAAATGAAAACTTGATGGCCTGTTTGTTTTTGGTTGTGAAAGTTTTGAGCTTTAAATTTCAGGTCATTGTTTGTAAGATGGCACATTGTTGATTTTGGTTTAATATTCAGATGAATGGTGAATGATTTGTTGTTTGAATTATGTGAAATTGGACTTAATGTTGGTAAAGTGTAAATTTTTATTTTCTTGGTTGTTACAAGTTGGGATTTTGATTGTTCTTCTGCTTGATTTTTACCCCTCTCATGATCTGTGTAGGAAACGCACAAGTATAGTGGGATAGTGGAGGATTGTTGTTGTGATTACGAAACCGTAGACCATCTTAACAAGGAAGTTCTGCATCCATCACTCCAAGAGCTCGTCAAAACTCCGTTCTTTCGATATTTCAAGGTTAGATGATTTCTATAAATTGGTTAGATTTGCATGTTTGTTAAGAATATACTGATTTTGAAGATTATTAATTTGTTAGGGACATATGCTAATCAATCTGATGCATTATATTTCAATCTGTATTGAACTTTGCTTCTGTTTACCATTTGTGTATCTGAATTTTGTGGAGCATGGTTGATAATGTGTACTAGGCTAAGTTATGGTGTGACTGCCCTTTCTGGCCTGATGATGGTATGTGCCGTCTGCGGGACTGCAGTGTATGTGAATGCCCAGATAGTGAGTTCCCCGAGTTGTTCAAGAAGCCCTATCATGGCCTTCCTGTGGATGATCTTATTTGCCAAGAGGGAAAGCCTGAAGCAGCTGTTGACCGTACACTAGATAATAAAGCTTTCAGAGGATGGACAGAAATAGATAATCCCTGGACAAATGACGATGAGACAGACAATGGTTTGTATCCTTGCTTTTCTTTCTTTCTCAACTTAGCTGTTTCATATATGTTAGCTTATGTTGAGTTGAATGCCATTCCTGCCAATTGTATCTTCTGCTTAAATTTTAATATTTTATTGAGTTTGCAATGATTGATTGCATATTTACATTTGCAGCTGAGATGACATATGTGAATCTTCAACTGAATCCTGAACGATATACCGGCTACACTGGTCCATCTGCTAGAAGGATATGGGATGCTGTCTACGCAGAGAACTGTCCTAAATGTAAGATCTCTTTTTCTCTTTTTTTACCCTAATGAATGTACCTAAAACGTTATTCTCTTTAGTTTCCAGACATGTAAGTTTGTTGATAAAATGCTTCTTAAAAGATGCTCTACTTTTATAAGTTTAACTAGAGCTCTTAATGAGCCTTTTGTTAGACTATTGTGGGCACTATAATCTCATAACTTGGGTAAGCCGGGACATTTCAATATCATTGTGCCCATTTCCACTTGTACTCCATTCTATTTTGGTGCCTATTCATTAACAGATTTTAACTTCTGTTAACCTTAATTGTGTTTTGAACTGGACCTTAGGACTTTTGGGGCAGAATCATTAGCCAAGTTTTGGGTTTCAATATTCCCTATTCAAAGTGTTTTGCATGTGTTTTTCAGTTGACTTATGCTTATTTTCAAAATTACAAGTTAGCAGTTACTTTGCGGATATTTCAGTTTATGCACTTACCTTAATGTTTGGGACAGTTACACTGCATGTCTCATTGTATTTAAGAGATGACGTGAGTTATTTACTCGTCATTATTATTTAAGAATAAGAATTTTGTTTTAATTTCCAACTTCATCTCCAGATCCATCTGAAGAGTTGTGCACTGAAGAAAGAATTCTGTACAAGTTGATATCTGGCCTTCATTCCTCCATTTCAGTCCACATAGCTTCTGATTATCTCCTTGATGAAACTACACAGACGGTACAAGTTCTGATTCATAATTTTCTTTAAAACTTACATTTGATGAGGCAACAAACAGTTTCCATGGTTCCTGAAACATTTCAAACTGTATCCAGCCCCCAGCCCCGCTGTTCGAAATTTAGTGCTAACCATACTTTAATATAAAAGATGGCAATCTTGGCTGTTTCATTAGTAGATGCGTCATAAAGGCAACTTTTGCCTTTCACTATACTTATCATTTTGTGGCTCTACTTAAAGATCTTACTTCATTTTCTTCTTTCTAAATTGTGTTTCAGTGGGGTCAAAATCTCTCATTGTTGTATGATCGGGTGTTAAGATACCCCGACCGTGTCAGAAACTTGTACTTCACGTATCTCTTCGTTCTCCGAGCAGTGACAAAGGTGGGTATAAGCTAGAATCCTTTTGAAAGTATTATGTTATTCTTATTGTCAGGGATACTGAAGCATACTGAGTCTACTGACAATAGTTTCTTGTTCATCTTTGAAAGTATTGTTTGTCTTTGAGATAATAATATCAATCTTGTTCAAATGCATTCAGGCTGCAGATTACTTGGAACATGCAGAATATGACACTGGAAATCCTACTGAGGATCTGAAGACGCAATCCTTGGTGAGACAGCTACTCTATAATCCCAATCTACAAGCTGCATGCCCTGTCCCATTTGATGAAGCTAAGCTGTGGAAAGGCCAACGTGGACCTGAACTAAAGCAGAAAATACAAAAAGAGTTCAGAAACATTAGGTATTCTATGTTTTTCTTTTTGTTGGACTTGGTGTTATATATGTGCTTAATCATACTGAGGATGGCACAAATTTTTAACTGGCATCCACAATGTAGTAGTCTAAAGTTTTCCTCTTTTCTCTTTTTAGGGGTTGGTTGTTCAGAAACATATCATTTATGTGACTAATTTAAATGTTTGCATTGTATTGTAGTGCATTGATGGATTGTGTTGGATGTGAAAAATGTCGACTTTGGGGGAAGCTTCAGGTCCTTGGTACTAGGCACTGCACTTAAAATTCTCTTCTCTGTTGACGGTCAACAAAATACTGTTCAGATTGTAAGTATCTCTTTAAAAGCTAACTTTATATGGCACTTGCTTGAAGAAACATGTTTCCTGCTATGGTATTTAGTCGGGGTCTCAAAAGTTTGCTGATGGAACCCTTTTGTGCCTTGAGTGTTTTGCCTTTGATTTAGAGGCATGCACAGAAGATAATCACAGCTAAGTTAGTTAGCAAGATTTTAAATAATTAATAGTTATCGAATATGGTAGAAGGTTAAGGTTCTAGCTCTGAAACTATACTGCATTGGATTTTTCCCATATAGTTTATCTAATCGACCCTAACTGTGCAACTCTCAGTAAGCCATGTCAACACCATATCCTACTTTGTTAAAAATGACATGGCATGTACAAACTTCCCATCAGTAGTGATTTTTGTGGGAATGGACGTACATCCTGCAAGAGTGTTCGCGTCAATTTAAAATGACAGTACAGTTTTGCTTATTCCTTTTGCCAGTTGATGCAGGACATACGTGTCACTCGTCATTTGCGATTACATCATTTGTAGGTGTTGTTGTTGAGTACTGATAGTCTGATATACTTTCTGTATCGACTGAACTGTATTGTATTGTTCTTCAGCTGCACTTGCAAAGAAATGAAGTGATTGCCCTGATGAACCTACTCAATCGGCTCTCAGAATCTGTCAAGTTTGTTAATGAAATGGCATCATCAACCGAAATGCTTGCAGAAGGGCAGATTTCTTCACCCACTGCCCCAAATTGCCCCTTGCAAAGGATGTGGGCGTCAATGTTTAATACACCAGCCCCAAGTTGCCCATTGCAAAGGATGTGGGCATCGTTAAAACCTAGGTAGGCAACTTGAGGTTATAGCTAATCTCTCTTCCTGTTCTAGCTCTTCGATTCTTGCCGTTGCTAAGCAGATTACCTATGTTTTCGCAGGTAAGGAGAACTAACTGGTGAGACCGTAAAACAGAACGAAATCTTCAAAATAGTTTAAGAAACTGCAGAGAAATGTAAAAGTACTATATTAGATACAGACGTGTCCCCTTCTATTAAGGGATACAGACGTGTATAAACTCAAAACAATGCGACCCGTAAATTTTGTACCTTACTGAAATTTGAGCTGTTGAAATTCGATTACCATAGCATTTTCTTCATGTCATCATGGGGTTTGCTGAAGGACTCTAGTAAAACTTGGCAGCCAAGGACTTCGGTCATTGCGGAATGAATTTTCTTTCTTGTGAGGTTAATGCCATTGTTATATGTACCGTTCTAGTGAGGGCTTGTTTGGAACTTGTTCTGGAAAGGCTAAAAGTGCTTTCTGACAACCAAAACCACTTCCAAGTGGATGAGTGCTTCCTACCGAATCGGCCCCAAACATGCCCTTGTTTCCCTTTGATTCATCTGCAATCATTATACTATTGATGCACTCAAATAAGATACATTCTGACAAATAGCATTCATTTGATCCACAAGTGAAGCAAAACCTACATACAACTAGGCAAGGGACGCTCCCTTACGATAACCAATTTTTACAAACTGCTGCTTCTGCAACCGTAATGATCCAAAATAACAGGGCACTTTTCGTGCATCATTCGAAATTTACATACATCATAAGAGATGATAAATGTTTGTATCTTGTGTTGCGCCTAAACAAACCGAAAGTCAGGAACTGCATAGGAACTACACTCCAAGGGAATTTTCTGTGCATATTCGAGAGTACGCTGCTAACAACAATATCAGTGTCTAGCGGGTTTCTTTAGACGCTTGGGGGGCCGCATTATCTCCTTCTTCAGATCCTCTGGAGGTTTCAGGTCAATAAATGGCTGCAACCATATTCAAAAGACAAATTCATCATTCCATAAAACTTAAAACCAGCAATGCATCAGCGAAATTGCTTAATCGTGACATACAACAATAAAACTTTTCAATTGACAATAAACTAAATTGGGTGGCATTTAAACATATTTTCCAACTGAACTATTTCATATGACCATCCAGTCTGTAATTCTCAAACCAATAACCTTTCGGATTCTGGACCTTGAATATGTAGGTCATTCCTTCTCACATTGTTTAAAAATGATGTAAGCAATTTTTTCAAGGCATAAAAACTTAACTGCTTATCAATCGTATGAGAAAACCGTCGAGCCATAGAATGGGAAAAGTATTCACCCGAGACCTACCCAACTCCAATCTACTTCACTTTATAGCATTATTGCATAGCCAAGAGTCATTACCACATTAGCCAACAACTTCAACTGAAAGATCTTAAGCTCTAATTCCATATTCAAGAGATGTAAATACAGGAGACCAGAATGGGAAGGCATCACAGGAATGCTAAAGCAAACCAACCCCAGTTTTATCAGAATACTCAGGGAGCGAAGGTACATCTCCCTGCCAGCGAATTTGACTTTACTAGTAGGGCAAGGTGGGGACAGAAAAACTGGCCCTGCCTAGTTTTGTTGCCATTCCTAGAAACACTGTTTAACTGGAATATACAGATCACTTGACGAGGAGTTAACCGTACCCATAATTAACACATTCCGTAATGTGTGAACATGTGTTTATCAAACAATAAATCAAACGAAAATTAGAAATAAATAAGAGGGCATCGTATATTACCTCATCTGATTTCTTTTGAAGTTCCAAAATTTCTTGACAGTATGCAAGGCACTCCGCATGGTATGCAGCAGCTAACTCTTTTATCAAGGCCTTTCGTTTAATGATGCCAATCACTTCAAAAAAAACAATATGACAAAGGTTAGATCCCTGGAAAAGGTTCACTACATGTCAGTTTCCACAAGGAACAAACAACAAATCCCGATTCTTTAACAGTATATGGCAAGAAAAACACACATCATATCTAAAGTTTGCACGGGAGCGATACCACTTGAATTGGGGGAATGAAATTGCAACATGTGATTGGACATATGACAAATTACTGCATTAGCTATTGAACTATCGATTGTGTGTTCCGTACTTCATATCTAAACCATCTCAGAGAGCATGAGAATAGACTCCAGAACTCTCACCCACAAATTCAAGTGAAATATGAAAGAAAAAGAAAACATGGGTTCATCTTTGTTTCCTACTTCCTACAGAGAAATACATTACTTTTAAGTTTTTAACACATATGTAGTTACACAAAAAATTGCAATCACTGACCCGATGTTTCAAGAAAAAAACTTGAGGTTAATTTAAAATTTGACAGATTTACATGCTCTTAAGCTTCAGATATTTACTACGTCATGGTTTCCCAATCAAAAGTCAAGTAATTGAATCCCATTATACAACCTGCAAACTATGAAATTCCGCATCTTTCAATAAACCCAGATGGAAAAATTCAAATTCAAACATAAAAAAACGCATCTTAAAACATTAGTCACAAATTCAAAACACTCCAATAGAGAGAGAGAGAGAGAGAGAGAGAGAGAGAGTTACTTCGACTGGGATCGAAAGGGGGAGGAGGAGGGCTGGTTTGGGTGGTGGGTTCCTGAGAGGTCGCGTCGGAAGAAGGTGGAGGAGCTTCTTCTCCTTCCTGCTGCTGTTCTTCTTCTTCTTGACCCATTGGGGGTTCTTTTCTTTCAATCGGAATTCCCAGAATCCTCTGCGGGCAGATCGCTAATCAGCGACAGCAATGGGTTATTTGAATAGTTCGGAATTACCCAGGATGTTTATGATTATGTTTAAATATAATTACAACGCAGGTAAACAACTAGGTTAGGTATAACTATAAGCCGACAACATTGTACGGCGAAGGTTCTACTCTGCTACAACCACAGCGGACCTTTCTTCTACATCTCTTCTCCTTCTCTGTTGCGGCAAATTATTTGTGGTCTATTTTTGGTCGGAAATTATGTGTTTTTTCATGTTGGAAAAATTATTTGGGTGTAAAATAAGGGCATCTCCAAAAGAAGATGTCAAAATTGCCATGTAGGCATACAATACTAAAAAAATAGCAGCAAACTCTCTCTAATTGAGCATTTAATTTCTTAGATGGCGTTGATTTATTTGAAAGCAAAGCCTTTTGCTGTTAAATTTGACAGCAGATGTCAAATTTATTAAATGATATATAATGTATAATAAATATTTTTATGTTTTTTAAATATTTGATTGGTTGCCTTAATCATTGGACTCTACAAAAAGATAAACAGTTTATTAAATAACATTATTATTTAACATATCGGGTGGAGCAAAATATTGTACAAAATGTCAAATTGTCACATAAACTATTAACTATAATTTTGATGTTTAAAAATTGACATCTAATTTGGAGATGCTCTGAGGGCATTTAAAATGATTAAAAGTGTATCAGTTTTAGAAAAATATTTAGAGTTTAAAAGTACACTTTATGAAAAAGGCACTATTTTTGTGATTTTTATATGAAGCACATCAAATATTTTTTCAATATTCAATTACATTTTTACTATGAATTGGTTTCAAAAATATTTTTACTAAAATCATTTTAGCTATTTTAAAAACACCTCCAAACGAATCCTAAATTATAGCTCTTTGGGAAGTGTTTTGTGCATGATTGAAAACGTTTTTAGTAAAAATATTTTTGAAATCAATTTTTAATAAAAATGCAAGTAAATCTTGATATTTTGGGAAAAACCTCAAGTACGTTTGAAATCAAAAAAGATTTTTTCTAAACAACTTTTAATAATTTTAAAAGTATTTTAAAACGAGCATTTAGTTGTAAACTCATCGTCTACGAAATTAAAAAAAACAAGAATTTTGAGAAAAAAACGATAAAATGAAAAAGAAAAAAATAATTCAAAGTGGTTTTATGGTCATTTAAAATATTATAATTCCATGTAAAACCCTTCTCCTTTGCCTAAAACCCTCGCAGACAGACATCATACAAAATCAGCAGGACCGCCGTCGCCAATTTCCATCATGAGCCTAATCGCAGGCTCCTACGAGAAATTCATATGGGGCTTCAAGCTCAGACCCCTAAACCCTAGCCCCGATTCCCAATCACTAACCCTAACCCCTCTCTTCTCCTACCCCTCCCACCTCTCCTCAATCACCACCGTCGCCACCGCCGGCTCAGCCGCTGCCTCCGGCGGCACCGATGACACCATTCACCTCTACGACATGTCCTCCGCCACCTCCCTCGGCTCCCTCCACGACCACTCCGCCACCGTCACCTCCCTCTCCTTCTTCACCCCTCCCCACCTCTCCTTCCCCCTCAACCTCATCTCCGCCGACGCCGACGGGTCCCTCTGCATCTACGAGGCCGACCCTTTCGTCCTCCTCAAGAGCCTCAAGCCGCACCGGAAGGCCATCAACGACGTGTCGTTGCACCCGTCCGGGAAGCTGGCGTTGACGGTGGGGAAAGACGAGTGCTTGGCGATGATTAATTTGGTGAGGGGGAAGAGGAGTTTCTATTGCAGAGTGGCGAAGGAGGCAAGCTTGGTGAGGTATGATTGCTCTGGAGAGAAGTTCTATATGGCTATGGAGGAGAAGGTGATGGTTCATGAGGCTGAAGATGCTAAGTTGCTTTGCGAATTCGAGAATTCGAAGCGGGTTCTTTGTGTTGAGCCCGGTGAGGTTAGTTTCTTTGGCATTTGGTATTGGGTTTTCGGGTTAAATCTGTCTCCTTTATGCAATTTATGATCTGCACATTGATAATGTGAGTGATTAGTCTTTATGTTATCTGTGATCTGTGTGTAAGAATCCCAAAATATGGATCAGAGTACTTACTCTAGAAGCGCTTTTATTAGAACCACAACACATATTTTGTTAACGATCAAAGTACTTCTGCAATAAGTGCTTTTGGTTATCTGGAAGTGCTTGTAGCCGTTCCGAAAACATTCCCCAATAGGCCCTTACTCATTCATACATTGTCTGCAATTTTCCATTTGAGTAAGTGTATTGCTACATTTGCAGTTCTTCGTTTTGTTAAGATGTTTTTTACTATTCAGCTCGCAGTCTTGCTTGTTTTCATGCTAAAGCAGTTTGTTAAAGAAGTTACTACATTTTAAAGAAGCTTGCCCAAATATTACATTTTGATTTTTGACAGAATGGAGTTTTATTTACTGGTGGTGAAGATCGGAGTATTACAGCGTGGGACACAAACAGTGGGAAGGTTGCATATCGCATTGAGGATGCACATTCTACCCGTGTGAAGGGAATTGTTACGCTTACAAGCAAAGCTGGTGCTGTAGCCAATGAGGATCCCTATCTTGTGGCATCGGCCTCGTCAGATGGGGTTATACGTGTTTGGGATGTTCGCATGGCTGTTAATGAGAAGCCAAATCCATTGGCCGAGGCTAATACAAAATCAAGGCTTACTTGTCTGGCTGGGTCATCTCTTAAATGTAAGATTTCTGCTTGGGTAGCTTGAATTTTTCTTAATTGTTAGATTTCACGTATAAGTGAACTATTAGTGGTATTGTTCTGGAGTTTTCTTTTCTCCGTACAGTTGGTTTGCTTATGCGTTGTGAAATGGGGCTCACTGTAGTACCGTAGTACCTATCTTGATTTCCCATTTTCTGATGCAATGTGAATATGTGATTATGTTTGTGGATGTAGAATTGTTCTGTAATTCTTGTTTCCAGTGGCCCGTTCTCTTATTATTCTCTCGTTCCTTCTTGTACAGCTTTCAAACGGCCACAGGTTGGAAAAAGCGTTCAAGAAGAGAAGCATGATGCAGAAACATAAGGTGTATAAGTTATAACCAAATCAAAATAGCTTCCTATGTGTGTGCCTGTGTGGTTCTTGCCATTGCTAAGAAACCGGAAATGGAGATTTGTTACCCGAAGTGGCTGTGCTTGGTCCAACATATCAATTTTGTCTTAGAACTTGTTTGTATCAATGTTCAAGTATTTATCCGTGAAACTTCTGTGCATCATTGTATTCTTTTTAAATTTTCTAGTGAAGATATTCCTGTGTAAATCTGAGTTTTGAGTAAAACCGTATGGAAGTAAAACCAAAACTTGAAATGTGTTAAGAAAATGTAAGTGAAGGCCAAATGTTCCTCCAAATCCAACTAACAGAATTGGAGTTTATGACAGAGTTGGCTTGGAAGTATTGAACAGATGCAAGGGAGCTCGATTCTAGTAATCGTGTCGTAAAGAATCGAACTTGGGCCGGTGACAGAATTGAAGACCTGTCCGGAAAGACCGAGGAGGCTGAGGTTTGCGTAGCAGCCGAGCAGCTTGGAAGAGAGTGTTGGGATTTGGTGCTGGCTGTGAAGGACGAACCTGGCGCGGAGTTGCCTGAGCTTTCTTGGTCCGGTGCAGAGGCTGAAGAGGGAGGAGAGTGTGCTGAATGAGGTTGTTTGAGAAGAAATTGCCAGGTTTATGGGATAGTGAAGGAATTTGAGGAGGAGAGGGTTGTGGAGAACGTGTCTTGACCGTTGGGAGTGAAGCATGTTAGGCAGAAGGGAGACCAATGGGCATAATCTTGGTGTGATGAGTTCATGTGAAAATTAGGTCCTAAACAAGGATATTCAGCTAAAAATTTTGAAGTATCTCATGCTCCGTAACATTAAAGAAAATCTTAATTGTTTAATGAAACCATAAAAACTCATAAAAATCACCTATTAGATGTTTGCCGACTATTTTGATTGAATTATTTGAACTCATATCTTTTGTGAAGCAAATTTTGTGGCCCTGCGGTTACGGGTATTGGCTTCCAGTATGGCAACCTTGATAGATCTTTTTCTTCTGTCGCGATCAGGGCTCTTTTGTTGGATTGTCTAGGCCCTAGGGTTTGGTTGTATAGGGGTGACTCCTTATATTTCTTAGCTCTTTTATATAAAAAAATAAAATAAAAAACACTGATTTAAAACACTTATTTAAGGGTATATATACATATAGCATATAAGCATACACAAAGTGTGTAAGAAAATTTTTTATTTTTGTTTTTGAGATAGAAGGAGAGAGGAAGGGAGTGATAGAGAATGTGAAAGAGAAATTTTTTTTATTTTTTTAATTAGAGATATGTTAGGATTACATGTAGATGAGGTTTTAAAAAAAAAAATAAAGCAAAATTTGATTGTGTGAAATTACATTTCTGCCCTATATTTCTTATTCATGTTGTGTTTTAATTAAAGAGTTAAACTGATAATTTCATAAAATTTTAATTAACAATTAATATTTTATTAATTAATGAATATGTATAATAATCACATAATAAGTTTGTCATAATTAAGTATTGAAATCGCAATTCATGTGAGTTGTGATCCTCTCGAACCAGAGACATTCCACTAATAACTAAATAAAAATACTATCAAAAGATAATCTTAGTGGGCATTTTGTGATACACTCGTGGAAATAGATGTACAATCTAGTTTGTTTAGCCAACCAACTGAACTTCTAATAAAAAAAACTAAGCTGCACAAATCATAATTAGTTATGAAACAGTCACACTTACACATGCGAGAAAAAAATTTAAACTCGAATACATATTACATATTTGGTACTAAGCTGTTTTTATAAAAAGTGGGTATTAAAAAAAAATTAAGTTAAAAAATGTATTTGGTAAACATTTAAAACAACTTATTTTCATAGTTTTGGATGAAAAAAATTAAAAACGTCAAGCAGTAAAAATGAGTTTATTCTCACATCACAGCTGAAACAATTTTTTTTTAAAACAAAGTAATACCAAACTAGCCCACGAACACAACTATTTTAACTAATGTGACTGCCTCAAGCCTGCCTGCACAATAGAGGTTTTTTTTTTTAAGAGAGAAAAATACACCATTTAACTATTTGAGCGTTGAAACTTGAAACAGAGGAGGAGGAGGAGGAGGAGTGGTAAACAGAAGTTTCCGATATTTGGGAAGTTGCTGTCCTCGAAAGCCAAGAATTTATGTAATTTGACAACAACAAAGACAGATTAGATCGGAAGATTTGAAAGATTTGAGCTTTGTCTCAGCACCAAGTTATCTCTTCCTTCTTCCCTCCTCCTTCTTTCAATTCCCACTAAACCCCCAATCCAATCGCCCATATCTTCACTCAATCTTCACAGGTATTTCCAGATCTCACTTCTCTTTCAGTTTCATATGCATTTTGATTGAATTAAATTTTGTTTTTTGATTGAACCCATTGGGTGTTTGGTTGCTGAGATATGTAGGAAAAAGAAAGAACATAAATTGATGCATTTTTTTTTATATATTTTTTTTTCTGGGTTTTGTAGGAAACAGGGAAAACTAGAACCCTTAAACCAATTGAGCTTGATTCCGCTATTTCGAGTTTTCGATTAGTTTGCTAACCATTTTGCTTTGGTTAGTGTGGTGGGCAACTCAGTTTGCTTAATTTGGGATACACATACAAACTGGGGAACTGAGACTGGTTCTGAAGTTTGAACATAGGGCTGGTTAAAGATAGTGCATTGTTGGGGTTGTATTGTTGAAGATTGAACTTGATGGAAGTGGATGGAAGTGCCTCAACAGTTTCTAGGGGTGCTCAATCAATTCCACGGCAAACCAGGCGACAGAAAGGTATGTTTTTCGAAACTTTCCCGTTTCTGATCGTGACTCGGTCGCCTTAGAATGTGCTCTGAAACTTCAGTCAGGTTATTTCTATGCGATTCTTTGTCACACATTGTTGTAGAAATTAGAGTTATTGAGGATTTCAATCTAAGAATATTCCATCAAGTTCCAGTGCGAAAAAGCTGCATAACTTTGCTTTTAGATGTTTTTATAGTAAATCATCTAATTTTTGGTCACCTGAGTAGCCGAGTTGTATATCAAATTACGTTTCAAACTTCAGAGTTTTGAAGCATGATCACTAAAGTAGTAAGGAGAAATTAGAATATAATTAATATCAAATTGTTGTCATGGCTTTGGAAAATAACGAACTGGAACAATTGTGCAATGATAATAGCGTGGCGGCATACAGTCTACCATGTATTAATGTGTTTTTAGCAAGAATCTGATTTGAAAAAAGAGGTGGTCTTGTACTTCGTCTATTTTTGTTAAAAAATAATAGTTATGTTTGTTTTGTAGCTTTTTATCAATTTCAACAGCAGAGTCTACCGGCTTGTAAACCCGTCCTCACACCAGCATGGGTGAGTTATTGATTATCATAAGCAACTCTTATGTAGTAAGCACTTCACTAGATATGTAGACTCTGTGGCATTAACTATCTTTTCTGCAGGTGATTACCACATTTTTATTGATCGGGGCCATTTTCATACCTGCGGGGCTTATTACTCTTAACGTCTCCCAGAATGTGAATCTTGTCTCTGTTGCTCTTTTGTTCTTGTTTTCAGTTGCACCCATATTTGGATTGGAGCATAAATTTGTGGATGGTTATTTGTTTGATATCTGATGCATAGGTTGTGGAAATTGTGGACCAATATGATGCGGATTGTGTACCAGAGGCATTCAAGAGTAACAAGGTGGCATATATCAAAGATAACTTAATTCCTAAAAACTGTTCTAGGTACTTGAAGGTAATTCATTTTTTGATTTTGAATAGACCGTTAGCTATTACATTCCTTGCAACTTGTTGATTGGATTTATTGTCTGCTTCTTTAAGGGTGTCACAGAATACGAAAACTGCATATTGTCAGTTATATAGATAACGGGTATCATCATTAATCATTTAATTATATATAGCTTGAGTAGTTAGGGTTGTGTTAGAGGCAAGACCGTAGCATCACAATATGTAGAGTAGTAGAACTGTAAAGGAGAAGCTGGTAAGTGGAGAATTGCAAATTCTATTGCTTACTACCCAGTGACTGTAGCCAACTTTTATTCCAATGCTTATTATCCAATATCCCATGACGTAAGAACTGATACATTTCTTGTATGCTGATTCATTATTCAAGTTGCTTTCACAGACAGTGATTTAATCGTAAAATGACTTTTCCATTAGTCTTTAATCTTGAATCCAAGAAATTTGGTGATCTATGACTGAAAATTATTGATCGGAGTGGAAAGTATTGTGCTATGAACACTCAAGTCTTCTTGTTCAGTTTTGTTGACTTTGAATTCTTCTATAACTATGGTTAGGTTCAGATCCATTCCTTCCAAATATTTTCCTTAATTTAGACGCTTTGCTCCAGTAGTTTGTGTGGTTTCCAATAAACCAAAAAATTATGTAGAGTGGTTTGAGGTATTCACAGCTTTGTTTTGTTACTTTTTGTCTGAATATTATCATGTATGATGTATTGGGTTGAATTATTTCGCTTGCTTTATTCAACCATGTTGTTTTTCATGTTACTTTTGATTCTAAATTTACATATGTATCTCTCTTTGAAGGTTTACAAGGACATGAAAGCTCCAATTTATATCTACTACCAGCTTGATAACTACTATCAAAACCACCGACGGTGAGACTTCTTTCGTTTATTCGGGCATAGCAATGAATCCGTCACTTATTTTGATTTACCTTTGTTCCTACCTTTTTAATTTCCTTTGGATGTTTATTTATTCCAGCATTCTGAAATGTATTTGGTTTCTATATCTCCAACAACTGTCTATTCTTCATGATAAGCTATTAGTGCTTTGAATTTTCAAACAAGTACGGTGGGATAATATGTAGCGGATCTGGGCTTCGGAAGATGCATCACAGTGGGGAAAATTAATTTTGGATACACTCCTAAAAACTATTGTAATAGACATTATAGAATTTTCAAAATTTACTGATCTATGTGGGGGCTTAGTGTTATTGGTAATTCAAAAAATGAATAATTTGCTAAACCAGGGAAAATTATTTGGATAATTTATTATTCAATATCCGGCTATTTGGTTGTGATGAATTTTTTGCTGGAAAACTCGAGAAAGTCAAGTTTCTTTGTTGTCTGATTTTGGAAATAACGGTTTATGCCTGAAGATTCTCCCTCTTTTGTTTTTCGATTTACTTTTCTTTTATCATGAAAAGTCTGTTAAATCATATTTTTACTGAGTACTGCTCCCTTTTATGTTAATTTTTATGGCAAGTTAACTTTTATGTTACTGGTTTTGATATCAGCCGTATTGTTTTACAGTTTTACTCATCTGATTCTCATTTTTTCAGGTATGTCAAAAGTAGAAGTGATCAGCAGCTTTTACATGGATTGGGGCACAATGACACAAGCTCCTGTCAACCTGAGGAGTCCAACAAGGATCTTCCCATTGTTCCTTGTGGCTTGATAGCATGGAGTTTGTTTAATGATACATATACTTTTATTCGCGGAAGAATCAGAATTAAAAGTCAACAGGAAAGACATAGCTTGGAAGAGCGACCGTGATCACAAATTTGGGAAGCATGTATATCCCTTTAATTTCCAGAACGGGACCTTGATTGGTGGTGCAAAGCTAGATCCAAAAATTCCTGTAAGTATTACAACTGCACAACAATCTATTAATATTGCTCTCCTGTGCTCCTATACCCTTGAATATGATGCCGCCATTTTATAGTTCGTAGACATGGCTTGTAAAAAGGATACTCTTTATATATTCTTTCCACTTCTGTAATTTCTTTGAGTAAAACTGAGTTCTTACAGTATCTCTGAATTTCTCATAAACTGTTGGTAAATGTTGCTGTATTGAATTAGCTAAGCGATCAAGAAGACCTTATTGTATGGATGCGGACAGCTGCGCTCCCCAGTTTCCGGAAGCTGTACGGTAGAATTGAAGAGGATTTGGATGCAGATGATGTTCTAGTAGTGAATCTAACAAACAACTACAATACTTACAGTTTTGGTGGAAAAAAGAAGCTTATCCTTTCAACATCAAGTTGGTTAGGAGGAAAGAACGACTTCCTTGGACTTGCCTACACTTTTGTTGGTTCAACTTCCATCTTCATTTCTGTTGTCTTCTTGTTGCTGCATGTGAAATATCCAAGGTAGATATGATATATATCGTGCACGACTTCTCCATCTTGTGCATATTATTGTTGCTACATCTAACGTGTAGAGATGCCATATGTTTGACTAGTGGAGCTAACGAAATTACTATATCATGAGAAGAATACTGCTCGTCTTTTTACTAAGAGTTCTCTGTCAGTTTATATTTTTGCCGGATTACCTCCAAATATTAGTGAACTTCATTCTTGGATTTCGCTGATAACTGCTTTGTTCTGTAGAACTCTTTAATCTCCGTAATTGGGTTGCCTTCTCAACTTTACACTGCCACCGGTTGTCATACTCATTCGGTTAGTCCTTCATTCATATTTGTTTCTCGTCCCTTTATTCTTTCTCCATGTTAACATCTTTTTATGCCTTTATACAGTTATGCTGCACGTACTTGTGCATTACTTAATCTTTTGTTGACTTATTATGTTTGTTATTAGTCATTGAACGATTATATTCAAAAATTTAAGCTCATATACATTATACGTAAAGATCATTTTTTCCCCGATATGCTAAATTGCTAATTTTCAAATCTGTTTTGGTTTGTTTATCTTTGCAGGCCCTCTACTATGGAAAGAACTTATCTCTCTTGGAACAAGAAAACCATTTCCAGCAGAAGAGGTGATGATACTTTTTGAATAGTTTGAATCAAGTGGAAGTAATGTAACCTCAACACACACACACACACACGAATTATCGAAATCTTGAGCGATTAGTGTACTGGGAAAAATAGAAAGGGGATCTTTTTTTTCCTCTTCTTCTTCTGTGAAATGTAAGAAAAACAGCGTGCGAGCTAGTTACGTGTTGTACATGCACTGTCATTTTTCTCTGTATCCTTGTACTATATGGTGAAAATTTATTTTGGGTGAAATGCAGTAGACCATTGGCTAAAAACTATCGTGCAAATTTAGTTTTAGACATGTTCAAACATGGATTTGCTTGCATTATATTGGTTGGTTTACATTTCCAAAACCTTTCCATCCTTTCCCTATTTTTGGAACCCTAATCATTTGAGCCCTCTATAATCCATGTCACCCTATCCCATTGATTCCCAATTGAGAAACACAAAATATTGAAGATCATTTCCCCACACCATTGGTTTGCTAGTTCCTGCAAAACCTTTCTTTAATCCTCCTCCGAAACTGATTAAACCCTTCGCCCGAAAAGAAGACGAAGAAGAAGAAGAAGAAGGAACTAGCAATTGATCTTCAAAAGCAATCTTTATATAAAGACTGCTTTTGAGAGAGATAAAATGAGGAAGGGGTTCAAAAGCATGCAGAACTGGGGAGAGGTTGCACCGGCAGCCATTTCGGTATCCCACCGCAGAAAATCTTCCAGCTTTACAAAACTAGAGCCCATAATCGAAGAGGGGTCAGAAGGGAGCTTCGAAATTGGGCAGAAGGGGGTGTTCTTCAATGCTATTCCTGTGCTCCTCTCTGGGTTTATGTATATCTTGTTGTTCCAGGAATTTGTGGCTTGACACACACATATATATATATGGTGCATGAAAGCATATATGTGGAAAGTAGAAGATATGAGATCTCTAGAGCAAATTCATGCATGTCATGTGTTAGGAAGAAATATTCCATTCACTTCAAACAAACAATATGTTGCAATGTGAGGCATGGATCGGTTTTTTGCCAATTTTTTTTGTATTAGTGCCATTAATTAATAAAAGAAATTGGCTTCCCACAAGGTACCATATTTCCTCTCTCTCTCTCTCTCTCTCTCTCTCTCTCTCTCAATTAGCCTTCAAATATTCTGATCATAAATGGATTGGATAACTTAATAGATTATATGACGAAATGAAGAATTTTTTGGTCCGAGGTGAGGATAAAAGTACTCATGAAAGAAATTCCGATCTCTAGAAAATGGTAGATATATTTTTAATTTCATCATACGTTGAATCTTTTTACATGCAGGTCACTTCGATCCTCGCTACTATATATTCATTAGTCATTTTCATAATAAATGAAATGAAATAATATATCACTTACGAAATTGCATTTTGCATGGGTTGCATGAAGTTTGCAGCATTAAAATTGCAGGTCGTGAACACGTTCGGCCCTGGTGCACCGAAAACATCTACAAAGTTTTGCAGTCTGACTGCCCATGTATCAATTTTCTGCGTCATTTCATTTCTCCGAATAAGTTGTTTTTCCAATTTATATTTCATGATCGACGAAGAACTCCCGAACATTTAAAACATTTCGATAGAAATATGCCAGAAGAATCTGCCTTCAAATTTCCAATGTGAATGCCATGAGCATGTACATTGTTATGAAACTAATCAATCTGCTACAATACATAATCTGGATCCCTTACCAATTAACCCTAAATTCGGAGACGAATCTACCCTCGATCTCTCAAATCTATTCCATGTACACCAATCAATAATCAAACATCATATCTGTACATCAAAAAATAAGAAACACAAGAAGCGAACACCGGAATTAGAAACATTGTCCTCTTCGAAAATGGCGGAATTTCAATGTTAATCTGAGATTCAGCCGGTCCTGCTTCTTCAACAATCGTCTCCAGCTCTGGACATTTCGAAGATTTATGGGGAGATATGAAAAGGGTCGGTGCAACTTCACCCCAGTTGTACATGTAGCTCACCTCCTTCACCATCATTATCTCTGAATTAAGCACCTTAAAAATACAAATTATGAATAACCTTGTGAGATTACTGAGGGAGGTGGAGATATTGGGTTTGTAGGAAATGAATTGTGAAGCGTTGTATATATACTGAAAATTAATACGAAATTACAGGAGGTGGGAGCTGGCTAATGACCACTGGTGGATCAATCACAGGGTGACACGTAAGTCATTCAGTTTGAAGAAGTCTAGGAACTTTCTAAAATAGGCGTCATATCTGGTGTAACAACGTCCTAAAATACTTGTTGAAAACTGCGTGTGATGATACCTCAGCCTTCTGGAATTATACAAGTGTTAGGTATATTGGAAAATTCGATGGAAGGAGATCTAGAAGCCTACAACGATTTTGTAAATATTCTTTCTTTAACAATTTGCCTATCCTACGTGGCGGTTTTTTGTTGTTAGATATGTTTTCTTTCCATGCAAGAAGTTTGTTGCTCATTAAAATGTGTTTGTTTTATTGCATAAAAGAACAATTGTGTGGAAATATTTTTAAAATGATTGAAAACGCTTTTAATGTAAATATTTTTTGAATCAATCTTTAGTAAAAATGTAAGTAAATCGTTTAGAAATACTTTTAAAATGGTTGAAAGCGTCTCTAGAGAGCGTATTCGTCAGATCCAGTCATCTAAATCGGTCAAGATAAGGACAATTTCTTTTGTACTATGGGATTAAAAAAAAACCTAATCGGATAGATGGTCCACGTGGTGATAAGGTTATTGGAAAATAGCCATTATGGTAAAAAAAATTAGGATTTAAACCGTCGTGGTAAAAAAATAGAAAAATAGAAAAATAGAAAAAAAACTCCTTAGGAAAGGAGAAGATAAGCACGACTCTTACATAGAACAGGAACATACATGTTTCCGTAAATATGATGAATAACTATCAAGCCAAAAAGGCTACAAAAAAAATCTACCTACGGCCGAGATGGAGGGGTTATTCCCACCCCAACTTGGGAATTATACAAAAGAGGGCCAAGGAAACACCGACAAGAGAGGGAGGGTGCATGAGCTGCTTTGCTTCTACATGCTGTATATTGGCTGATGGGTTTCGGAGTAATTTTCTGTTTATTGACTGGATTTCGCTATGTCGGATTGGTTTGGTTTTTGGTTTGCTACGATTGGTGAGACTTATACCTTGGTTATTGTCGATTGATTTGGTTAACAAGGTTTTCATTCCTTTTCTGATTTGTTGTGACACACTTCTCAAAATTTATAGGATGCTATGATGTTTGTGCTATATAAAGACAAATTCTAAACATCTTCACCATCTTCATTATTTTCTTGGTGAGAGATAAACAGTAGAGACAAGGAATAATAACAAGTTAAAATGCATATTTATCCTTGCATTTAACGGACATTTAACAGAAAAATTAGTTTTGGACTAAATTTACTAACGGATTACATCTCGAGGATTTAAATCTTAGCTTTTTTTACCACAGAGGCTATCTTTCAATTGCCTCATTACCACAATGATCCATTTATCTGATTAGGCCTAAAAAAAAATGGTCATGGGCCTAGAGATTTGGCTTTTAAGTCTTCACAACTATTTTATAGACTCTCATTTTCTATAGAAAAATTAAAGATGATTAATTAATTGGAGTGCCATAAGCTAAATGGAGCAATTTTATAATCATAACTTGCTAAATCCCCTCTTGCCCAATAAGAGCTCAGCTTAGAGCATTTTAACACAATCGGTAGTCAAAATTTGGTTAAATTTTTCTCCACATGACGCTCACGAAAGTTAAGGGTTGACTTATATTCTGTTCTCGTCATGTTATTTTTTTCTTCCGAAAGATCGATGACATATTTAGTTAATCGTGTCAAACCATTCAACTTTAGTAAAAGAGAGAATTCAGCAATGAAAGAACTGTTTATAATGTGCGAAATGCATCATCATTTTTTCAGAGGTGAATGCACCTCAAACTCTAGTCTGCAAATGGATCTATTCAACATACAATTTTGCCTGCTGACCATATTACACGAGAGAACTCCCTTACAAATTAAGCGATCTGTCTGTACAATATGAGGTATGTCGCTAAAGAAAGAAACACCGGAAAGAAAAACATCACTCGTTTGGGCAGAATCTCAAAGCTCTGGTACCTCCGATCCTTCTTCGGCAATGGGCTCCAATTTCGAAACGTTATTCGAAGGCTTCTCGTGGGGGATGACAAGAGCTGGTGCAACTTCACCCCAGTTGTGCATGTACCTCATATCCTTTGCCATCAAACCCATATCTCACTAAATGTATAATTCTTAAGGTGGAAGGTAATATTATATATGTTCTCTTGTAGAATTGTATGCTCATGAATGTTATTGTGTTGGAGAGAAGAGTTGGTGAAGCATGGTATTATATACAGAAGGAAGAAGGAAGAAGGGTGTAAAAATAGGAGGGTGGTGGGCTGGCCCTGCTGCAGCAATCAGCGGTTGACAAGGCGTCACGTCATGTGATGAGCAAAACGAACGGAGACAATGAAGGAAATGATAGATTTCGATTTTACAGTTTACCCGTGTGTCGAATCCAGAATGGCAAAAGCACGTTACATCTTACAGTCACAACAGATAAGCGTGTAATTACCAAATTGGTAAACTGCGTAACCTTAAAACTGCGTGTATGGGTTATGCCAAGACATGTGAACGGTGTAGTGCATGCATCGTCTTAGATTAGTATTATTGTGTGTATCAGATATGATATATATACATGAAGGTTTTTCTCGACCACACAATAACTAGGTTAATTCGCGAATTATGTGATAGAATCATTGATATGCTCATCAGTCATCACAGTCATTTTTCTTACACTTTTTGTTGAGTTTGCTCGATCAAATACTAGATTAGTAAAAAAAAAAATGAAACAAGGCAATGGGAAAAAGTCGTAGAGAAAATAGGCTGGGAAAGGGGTACAGAAATGATTAAAAATTAAAACTACTTAATTTTTCATTTAATTAGGCTTAACTAGGAGCATACATGATAACATAAACAGTTTACAATGAAAAAGACTTGTAGCCAGGAATGAAAGGATAAATGGAAGCAGTTCACTTTGGCTTAAGCTTCCATCTAGAAACAAAATAACCAAACAAAACACTTCAAAGGAAAAATTAATTAGCTAATGGGACATTATATATTTAACTTCTTTTCTAAGCACAGGACTGGCATGCAATTGTATGGCGAGTGTACGATGACTTCGTCACTTGCAAGAAGCAGGCCGCCGACAAGAGTGATGATGCCGGTGAAGAA